ACATGTGCCCTCTGGCAATTAAAAATATATCTAATTATTTAGGCTGAAAAATGTCCTCTTCTAAAACTGTTACTATTTATCGGGCTATGAAAACCTATCTTCCAGTCCAGAACAGAAACTACATTAAAATTACTTTCACAGCCCTGCTTTGCATTGCAGCGTTACTTATTTACAAAGGAGGCAGCCACTTAGGAACAAGGTTACTTCATGGTTCAGGGCATTCACATTAAAAAGAATCTTAAGCTCTCAAGTGAACAATGAGTCAATTAAATAGCAATAAAAATGAATAAATAAATAAATAAAAATTAAAAAAACAAGGTAACCGGGATGCAGTCATCTTCTAATTTTACCCAAGTTTTTCTGCCTTGCATATTTGCCAAAACTCATTGTGTCGGGACCAGCAGGTGGCGTGGTGGTTAAGGTGCTGGACACTCCCACATGGTGGACCACAGTTCGAGTCCTGGACCTGGTGGCTTCCTTTCTCACTCTCCCTCTCTCTCTTTCTCTGTGTCTCTCTCTGGCCAAATTAAAATAAATGAATGAATAAATCAAATTAAATAAATAATTCTTTAAAAAAAAACTCATTGTGTTAAACACTTAAGATCTGTGCATTTTGCTTTATATAAATTTTACCTAAAACAAGACTCCTACACAGACTTTTAGTTAGTAAACTTGCTTTTCACAGTGGTACAAGTTAACAATTCTGAAACTAGTTTCTGTGTACTCTAGGCTTGAGCGAATGAGTAAATATACTGAGAAGACTGGGAGCCAGGGTCTACTGGAAAACAGAGTGACAAATGTGGAAAGAGGGATGACAAGAATGTATCAGGTTAGAGTCAGAGGTACCAATATGAACTTGTATTAGTTTTTTAAATAAAAGTAGACAAATACATAAATATTGATATAGATATGTATGTGTAAAAGTTACCTATAATGACATATATCTGTATGTCTATGATGACATCTGTGTGTACACAGAAGTGCTTGTGTGCATGTATCTGTATACATATATTTGAATAAATGTATTATTTAAGTTTGTCTGCTAAGAGGACCTAGAATCAATGACAGCCAGTAGCAAGGAGCATATCAGACCTTAGTTTCTAAATATCATTCTTCACTAAAAGGAACCAGAGGGAAAGTGCTGAATCCAGGTCCAGGACGGCGAAATCATCAGATGAGCCTATGTAGTGGGATAAACTATCCCCTAAAAAGATATATCCACGCCCTAATCTCATGTACCTCTGAAGAAACCTTACTTGGAAATGGGATCTTTGCAGATGTAAGTTAAAATGAGGTCATACTGGGACCAGCAGGTGGCGTAATGGCCATGTAGTCAACCGTGGTTCAAGTCCCGGACACGGTAGCTAAAACTCACACTAGGCACGTGTGAGTGTGTGCCCAAGATCCTGAGAGGAGAATGGAGGAGAAGGGACTGCAGCGTAACTATCCCCCCTGGGGGGTGATTTCTCGCTTTCTGTCTCTCTGTCTCTGTCTGTCTGGCGAGCGCACGCGCCCTATAGCAAAAACCTCTCCAAAAATAAAAAAAAGGCCATAACAGATTAGAGTGGCCCTGCATCCAATGACTGGTGTCTTTCCAAGAGAAAGAAGGAAATTTGGGTACAGAGATAGAAGCAGGAACTGAAGTTAGGCTGCCAAAGCCAAAGAATGCCAGGGGACACCGAAAGCTAGAAGGAAGGATTCTCCCCCACAATCTACAAAGGGATTTCAGATTTCCAGCCTCCAAAATTGTGAGAGAATAAATTTTTTTTTCTTTTTTTGGAGAGGCTTTTGCTATAGGGTGCATGTGCTCACCAGACAGACAGAGAGAGACAGAGAGACAGAAAGCGAGAAATCA